GGTTTAGGGGTTTTGGGGTTTAGGGTTTAGATGCAGGGCTCGGAGCCTAAACTTGTTTAAACCCTGGAAACCCTGGTGTGAGGGATTCGCTAAACCCGGAAACCCCACACAAGGCCCGAAACCAATGAATATAAGGGCCTTAATCAGTACCTATACTCTTTTGGGTGTTCCTGATGAATACACATACTATAAAGAAGCCCAAGACCCTATTCCAATTATTAAAACCCCTACGTTAGGAGGATCTGCTGCAATGGGAATCCAACACTGGGACTTGAATGAAGGGTTTAGGGTTAGGTCTTCAGGGGCTTAGGGTGAAGGGGTAAGGGTGTAGACATAAGGGGATCATGGCTTGGCATGCAAGAGATTCGTGCTTTTTTGCCATTTAGCAGGTGAGACTCTGTCGGGCAGCGGCAAGCCAAGATGTCAGCACTTTCCTTCAGAAGGGCCCTTTGTTAATCGACTTCAAGTGCAATGGCCCTCCCTGCTTCTACGTGGGCCATGCAAACTATCTGCATGCCTTTGCAGTTCTCAAGAGCCAATGCAAACCAGAGCCTTAAGATCTTAGAGTCTACCAACAGTCTCTATTGTAGTTCCTTTCTTGTTTAACCAGTTATATATTAAGGATTTTTATAAGGGATCCCCAAAAAGGAACTACAGTGGACCCTAAACCCTAAACCCTAAACCCTAAAGGAACTACAGTGGAGACTATAGGTAAACTGTATGACGCGCCAGGAGCTGAGTCCCAGGAAGCAACGTGCGCGAGGGCGAAATGGGGAAGTTATTCATGTATGGGACTTTCCGAAAATTAGGGGTACCTTATTTTGGGGTCCTTATAATAAGGATCCTATTATTTAGGGTACTATATTAGGGTCCCCTATTTTCGGAAACCCCCGTATGTCTTAGTGGCTGAGTAGGTAACCTTTAACCTTTTGGGGCTCTTATAATCCTACTATAATTCAACAGGTTATCCTTTCTTGGGCTAGGGTACTCAGCCCGTAAGATGTACTTGACTGATGTCGCTACCGAACCAGGCATCCTACGTTTGAGCGGACGTGGTTGGAAGAAGTTGGAGAACATGTCAGATTACGTGGCAGGGCTACGGAATTTGATGCTCGAAGGATTTGCTACGCAAATGACAAACAAATCCGCGCCGTTTTGTGCAACACGCAGAAGAAGTCATACCACACAGGACTCTCGGACTTATCATGGTTGGGCATGGATGCTCTGGTAATTGCGTGCGCTCGAAATGGACGTTATCATCGTTTGGGCATGGATGCTCTGGTAGTGGCACGCTCCTGCAAATCGGTGTTATCATGGTTTGGGCATGGATGCTCTGGTAACTGGGCGCATTCGCTTATTCATGTTATCATGGTTTGGGCATAGATGCTCTGACCCTCGCATGCACTCACAAAATGGACGTTATCATGGTTTGGGCATGGATACTCTGGTACTTCGCACACGCTCTCGCAGTGGACATCATGGTTTGGGCATGCATGCTTTGGCCGCGGATGCACCGTGGAACACGCATGGCATGCCGACACGAAGGGGCCCGGGCGCCTGGTTTCTGCGGAGAAACAAATTACCACGAATGCAACATCAAATGGAAACGAAAGTTGAAGATCAAATGGAAACTGGTCTTGAAAGTAAATTATTGGGATCATGTAACACAAAGCCCTGGGTAGTTTGTAACAAAAGCTGTGGTCTATTTGAGGCAACCTATCTATAACACATTCTTGCCAAATGCATTAGGTGCATCACCCACTCCGTAATAGTGACCACGCGGGTGGTTATATTGGGGTCGTGTATATTCCTGCTACACCCCCTAAACCTTCCCATCAAACTTGTTCTACCACTATTACAGGGTGGGGGGTCTACTCTTGGCAGATGCTGTTCTTGGACTGCTGCGCAACATCTGATACAAGCACGTGTTCTGTTGCAATCGCTCTCCCCTCCTGATAAGTCCCAAACATACCCCCAAGATAGTACCTTTAATTGGGTAAACATTCATGATTAGGGGGTGGGGTTGTCGCAACAAGCGGGAAGCAAGCATACCAAAAAGGCTTGCATCTGATATCGCACACCCTAAGAATCGCAGTTGAAGAGTCCTATATAATTCCAATAGTAAGGAGCTGAAGCGAGCTAAGTTGCGCACAGTCTTCTGCAAGTTCGAGAAGAAGCCCCCAGGTAGGCCACCCACCCGGTAGAAGCTATTGGGGATAACGATAATTATTTTTAGGAGTATACCACTACAGGGTGGGGGGTCCATCGAACCAATGCCGCAGGTGCACCACAAGGACACACGATGTGTCTTCCCTCAAGCTTCCATGAAGGCGCCCTTCTGCACTTCTGATCGACATGGTAGGATACCAGAACAGCAGACAGGAGCTTTCCCTAAGGCATTGATGTTTCTACTTATTGTTGTCACTGCTGCTGTTTTGCACCATCAGTATGATCCGTTTATTCTGAAAAGCTCGAAAACTTGTTTAGACCTGCCTCCCAGCCCTGACACTGGAGACTTGAAAAGCCTTTACGATCTGACCGAAAGCCTAGTTGCCGCAGGCCAGTGGGATCCTCGCCGTGAGACAGGGCCCACCAAAAAGCACATGACCGAAGTAGCTGCTGTGTCCCGTGAAGGATTATCCCTTACAAAACACTCTCAATGCGCAGTCGCCCGAACGGCCCTAAGCCCTAAACCCGGGCTGATCGTTGTGTGCTCCTGGGTCCTGAAGGGAAGCAGTTTTCAGGTCAGTCCAGCAAAACGTTGCCCAGCGTGGACTCGGAGTTCAGACCCTTCCCATAGCGCAGCTGTCAGGCGAAAAGCTAGGAACTAACCTTGTGGCTCAAACCCTGTTGGCAGCCATTCCAGTACGAGCGATTTTTGCGTTGGGAAGGCTGTGCCTACCAAACATGTGAACACACATTTTAACAGTGAAGTCGCTCTTCCATGAACGAAAGACGATGCACATCGTCGCTTGTCCGTGCCGTGCCGTCTCGCTGCAACACAGTAAGCATGCGCATGTTCTACGTTGCACGACTCCAGCCGCATTTAAGTGCCGACTTAGATTGCCCTTCCATGCGCCGATCTCGTTTGATCGCTTACTCCTAAAGTCAGACACACTGTGTTGTGGGAATCCAACATACCTGATATTGAAGGGGATGTTCAGCGGAAGGGTTTCTGTCGACTGCTCACCCAATATTGCACACCCAGTTCTTCGATTGATCACTACGTGAGTTCCAGCTAGTGTTTATAGGAACCTTTGCCAAGCATCCTGCCTAAATCCCAAACCCTCAAAGACCTTTAACTGCAAAGCATACGCGACAAGAAGCTTATGCCGCAAACCGGGAGACCTGTGGCTGGGTCCTGAAGGCTTATGGCGTATGTTTCTGCACTAACATTCATCCTTGTCCTGCTGATGCGACTGCAGGGTAGCAATCTTAATTCGGCGCTGCGAAAGCAGACCTGAAGCTTGCAGTGCGGACTGTACACTACTTGCAGGGACTCTGGCGTTTCTAGGGGAACCTACTTAAGATGGGTGACAATAGGGTTCTGGACGATGATGGAGGGGTTATCGCTACACTGTACTACCTGTTACTACCTAACTCCAGGGTTCCTATTCAGTCCTCCTTGGGTAGCTTGCGAATTTCGCACCTGCCCAGCACCTCAGTCCTGAATCTTACAGATCAGGAGCTCAAAACGAGTTGTCGAGGAATCAGAAGCTGCGCAAGTGCTGCGAAATTCAACAGCTCCCACGTCCGTTGCACCTTTATCTACTTTTTTGCCAGGATGTTTCGAAGGATGATTCGAGCAGTCTGGTACCGCACGTGTCGAAGAAGCGGGCAGAGTTTTCCGGCGATCATGCATCTACGCACTTGATTGCTAGGTATGCCCCCGCACATTGAAGCTGTCGAGATATGCATCGTGCAAGCGGTGCTGTTCCTGTTGGCTGGGCTTGCATACCTCCATATTGCTAGCTGCATCCTAGACTGTTGCAGCGTCATGTTGCTTGCCCTCATCTTTCCAGCTGATTCTCCATTTTACAAGATAAATACACCCCTGTCCCTGAACCCTCAACCTGTTCACGCTATGTCTCTATGTGGTATGGGTAATAAATTAACCATATATCCCTACACTCCCCTTTGTCTTTCGAACAGCAGCAAACGAGCTGAAGCTCGATGCGTCCGCAGCGTTTTGTCATGACGCCTTGCAGGCTGAGGTGCATGCCGTGCGTACGGCGTAATTAATCGAAACGTCACTTCGCATTTAAGTTTGGGGACAACCGGAAATCTACTGGCAGAGAAGATGGACAATCAAACGGAGACTGGGTTTATGCAGGAGCTTATGAGCATGGTTACCAGAATGGTCTCAGGTTCCCTGTTAGATTATGGCATAGGATCGAGAACAACCCCAATATAGTACCCCCCGAATAGTAGTACCCCTTATCTTCGGAAACTCGCATATGCGTGCCAGAGCGCAGACCCTAAGCCGAGACGCTTCAGCCTGCTTGGGGCAAATGCTCTTGTCAGAGACGCCCCTCATGCAAACGCAGAGAGCAGTGGCATGTCAAAACGCCACCCTGAGAAGAGCAAAGCATGATCTAGGGAATCTAGGGTTTAGGCACAAGAGACGAGCACATTGCAGCAGTGTGGAGGCTCCTCAGGACGGATCTTCACAGCCGCGAATCAATTTTGAGCATAGACATTGACATGGAGCGGGCTATATCGGACGTGGAGCAAAAGCCTGGAGCCGGGTTTGTGGCCTTGACTGGTTGATGGTCAAAGCGTGTGGGGAGGATGAGGTCTTAAGCTGAGATGACAAACCGCGACAAGCCCTAAGACGCAGGTCTCAATAAGGTGGGCACTGTGCCGGGCACACGTATTTTTGCTTCTCAATGGCAAGCCGGGTTCCGGGGTCAAGGAAGAAAGTGCCGCTTGACGACCCGAAGCCCTTGAGGCTCAGTGATACTTGTGGTGTAGTTTCCCAGCTTCATGGCTATATGACCATGGGCGTTCTTCGGTTGATTCCCCTCCTGTGCCTCGCCTTGGGCGAGCATTGCTCGGAGAGTTCCGACAAGGCCTCGTGCCTCGGCAGCCCTGGACCCAAGCACCATCCTTCTGGCCCTCAACCCGGAGTCATTGTCCCTCGCTAAAGCCAAAAGCCTCGAAAGCCCAAGCTGCGATCCCTTTCAGAACGTCCTCAGGCTACTCCAGACGAAGGCACTCGTTGGGGAGGAGGCTCAGTTGTCAAAGTCTCTGAGTCTTCTCCCACCACGCACTCTCCACTACAGTCGCTTCCGACGCCGCCGCCACAAGGCGGGAAGCGAGTTCCAGGGTGTCAGTTCCGTTTGAAGAAGGGCTTCCGGGTCAGCGTCGGGAGCTGTGGCTAAACGACCTCCAACCCTAAACCCTAAACTTATAAACCCTAAACCCTAAACCTCTCGCTCCTCCAGGGGCTTCTGCCGTTCGTCTACATCCGGATCAATGTCGCCGTCGGCCTGGAGCCTGGAAAAAGAACCGGAGATCCTTCTTTTGTGGGGCAAACTTCGTGAAACTGAGATGACTCCAACAGAGAGGATGCCAGGGCCCCAAGACGGGAGTTTTGGGGAATGCGATGCTGTGCCCCGTGAGGTGCTGACCAAGCTGCGCGAGCAAGAGACGGAGTTCTTCATCAATTTCTTTGCAGGAATCATCTACGCCAATGGCGTACCTTACAAGGCCATGGCACATGGAGTGTCACCCTTCCTCCCGAATTACTGTGGTCCTAGCAGCTTCTTTGAGTTCACAAGGCTTGGGTAACGATTGAGTGAGGGATGTTTCGGGAGGTTTGTGATGGGCCTCTCGCAATCGGAAGCGTGGGTGAGACTGAGACTCTAGGATATCGGATTGCGGCATGAAGGTCTTGGGCATACTGGTCACTTGAAGCCGCCTCACGTCGTTTATTTATGACTTCTGACCCCACCTTACGGTTCCTGTGTGCTCTTGGACGACCACTCACACTTGTTCCCGCACGCATAGGTCTTTCATGCAAGAAATATACCCACGCCGGCATATGCCTACATGCAAGATGCAAATCAGAGCACGGAGATTGGACATGCGCCCTCTGGAAAGAAAGCAACAAATTCTGAAAACTCATCAGGCGAGATGCAAGTCAGAACTGTCTAAGTTCCATCTGGGTACAGATTCGTGACCTGTGGTGGGAGGTGTTCCCAGCTTGTGGTCCTCACCTGGTCACAAGAAGACATGAGGGGGTCACACGTGGCAAGAAATAGGTGGTCGCAAGTGTCGGCGATTCGGCCCGGATCGTTTACCGGGACCTGTATCCCACATCGTTTCAGGCATCCTCGGAAGGTTTCTCATTTCTGCATCAGCCCGAAAAACAGGATGCTCTCAGTCGAATATATAGGTTTGGCTTCCGCTCAACGAGCTGGCATTGTGTTCGGCTCCGTTCTTTAACGGCCTCGGTTCATCCGTTCGCTGATTCCTAGATTGTCAGCATCAGGCTGTGTAGAACGGGCAGGAGTTGGAAATCCGCGCGGTTTCTTGTAGTCCGTATATGTAATGTGTGTATTTTTGTTTGCATGTGTCGACAATTCAGAGTAGAAACACGCATGCAACGAGCACATATGCCCTTCTTTGATCGTCTTCAGCTTGTAGTTCTTGGTAAAGTAGCTCATGCACACACCGCATGCCGTCTTCCCCACGCGCGTCCATGTCCACCGCGCGTCCATGCCCAAACACGAATGACATCCTCCACGCGCGCATCCGTGACAGCACTGCGTCCAGGGTGAACAACATGCCCATAGCACCGAAGCCCCACACTCAGTTTGAACGATTAGTTCGTCGTGTTCTCGGTCTGCTGCAATCCTCTGCATTTTCTTCAGAACGCCAGGCGAACTTGCGTATTCTGAAGACGACGTCTACGCAGGCTTCCCGCTTGCATTCGGTACCGCAAGGCGGTGCAGTGCGGCTGTGTCGAAAGCTGCCCCGGCGAGGTGAGAGGGGAGATTTCTAGCGGGGTCCAGAGATGCGTTTGCGTGAAAAAATTTAAGGCCCTAAACCCTAAACCCCCTTTAAAGGGGCCTTGTTGGGCACTCGTCTTGCGAGTCTTGCGTTCTCTTCTCCCAGAGCTTCGCTACGCGGCCTAGAGCTGCTCTGGAGAAAAGCATCAGCGGTCGCTGCGTTTCTTTGCGTTTCTAGGACTTGTGCCCCAACCTGACATGGCAAGTCTGGTTGCATAGTTGTCTATCCAGTTCTGGGTTTTCGGGTTTTTGTCCATAGAGCTTGCGTCCCAGCCCGTTGCTCTTAAGTAGCGAAGTCCATCGGAGATGTTCTGCCAAGCTTCAGCCGAGGTTCAGTTCCAGGTCGGGTTTATTCCGGACCTCCGGTTCAAGTTTGGCGACGCTCGAATGCAATCGGACACGACGCTCTGTGGTTGTGGGATGATTGGTGTCTGCCAGTTTTGGCAGGTAGTGGGTTTTGCCACGCCAGATCTCCTGGATGGTAGTTCTGGCCATCCCCGTAAGCAGGCACACCCAGCATCTCTCTGCAGACGTTAGGACATGGGATGCGCGCACCGCGACCTTGTTCCTATTGGTTGAAACGCAGTGCTGAGGTGGTGGATCCAAAGGCAACGCTACGAGCAACAGTTTGGGAGTTGGACCGAGTCTTGCCTCGCAAGCCAGCTGTGTCCAAGCTTGTCCGTCGATTTTGTACTTCTCTCTTGCTCGGGTGGGACCCGATGCCAATGGTGAAGTTGTGGTGCAAACATGTGTATACAGACCAGACACCGACGTCGGCTCACTGGGGCGAGCTCGGTTAGTTTCTCAAGCGTGTTGAGTTCGATTGCAGGGGTCAGTGCTTTTGTTTGTCGTTCTGGAGCTGTTTTTCTAAAGCTGCACTGCATCCGATGCCCGTTGCCCGAAGCCAGAACTGCAGGTTTGCCAGAAGCCCTAAACCCTAAACCCCAAATGCAAAATTCCTGTCGCTTCGGAGATGCAGGTCTTCTCCGGGGCCCTGAAGACAACGTTGTGCGCACCGTGCGCTACAACGGCGGGGTGGTCGGCGGCTTCTTCTTCGAGGGCCGTCTCTTGGGCCGCGCCGGCTAAGTTTGGCAGGGAAGGTTTTGGAGATGTGATTTTCCTTCGGTTACTGCTTGTGCTTCCCTCGGAATCGCCCAGATCAGTGACGGAGTCACATTGTCTTTGGGGGAGCAGGGTCGGGCTCCCGGAGTTCCTGCGTCAGCTGAGGGCCTTCGGAGTGCAAGGTGTGGTGGTTTGCATTGCTGTCCAAGCACTGCGCTTGCATCTTGCAATGTTTTGCATCTTGCCCACCTCCGCCTTCGATACCCATTCCCAAGCATTCCTGGTGCAGATGCCGAGACTCAGAGAGATCATCACGAAGTGCGACGCCCTCGTGCCTTTTCAGACGTCGTGTCTGACGACCTAACGCATAAACTGCTGATGCTGGTATCCCGAACTGCTTGTCTTTTTCAGTTGGATTTACAAAAGCTCCAGCAAGGCGTTGGCGAAGATGCAAGAATGTCCTTTGATCGCGACTGTGTCGGGCATCGCGTGCCGATGCAACTTCTGCCACGCTACCTGCCTTGTATGCTGGTGAGGTTTGAACGCCCCTTGCTGCTGTTGACGTGCCTCGCTTTATTTTGCAGATGTTCGATGTGCAGCCGCCTTTTGTTAGTGCGCAGGTCCTGGCGGTGATAGAATTAAACACTAGCGAGCAGTGTGCATCTGCACAGCACAACGCAGACGCATTCGCAACAGCAGAAATCAAAGGGATCTTGCGACGCAGAGCCGACAGCAGTTGCAGTCGTCAGGTATCAGCAGAGCTGTGCGCAATGCTGCCTGAGGAAAAGTGATTCCAAAACAGACTTGATTCAAGTTGTTTTGTGTTCTTAACAAAAAATGCGTAAAAATTAAAGCCGCCGCATTCAAAATTCGTGTTTTGGCTCAATTCCGCACGTGACACCTCTTCTGTGAAGTTCGGCAATTGCCAGCAACGAATCAAAGATCCAGCACGAGTCTCTTCTCATTTCCATCCATTCCCCACCGTTTCTCCACACATTCGCCCTGGGTTCCTTTTCCGCGCTTGTGATCTTCTAAGAAGGCTCAAGTGGCGAGCCTTTCGAGGGTAGGAGAGGTGTTGGACATGGTATGAGGCTTTCAGGCCGGTGCTGTCGCCCGAACGCTCTCAAAGTCTAAGAGAGGAAAACCCTAAACCCTAAACCCTATACCCTAAACCCTAAACCCTTGCGCCAGTGCAAGCCGCCAACGTGTCCTATGGCAAGCCGCTCTTGTGGTACGTCAAGGCGGACTCCCCAGAGCCTTGGGCTTCTTTGGGAATCTATGCATGCCCGTTCCAACATGGGTGTTTCCGGAGATAGGGGACTCTGATATAGTACCCTAAATAGTAGGATCCTTATTATAAGAACCCCACAATAGGTTCTTTATTTTCGGAAACTCCCACATGGCCAACATAGGCATATGGATATGGACATTACGGACACGGAAGCACCAACTTCCTGCCTGCCAACGTCAGCTTTCAAGGCAACGCTTTCGCTGCCGCCTCAGAAGTAGAACGGTTTGGGTTTCGCCTCGATAGAAGTGAAGCTGAGGTCTGGGAACTGAGAAGGACCTATTTGACCACCTTCCAAGGACGCTCGGCGGCACTGCGAGGTCAGCCAGAGCTTTGATAAATATGAGGCAGGCTTACGGAGTACAGGTGTGCACCTAGATTCAGAAGACTCGAGGCATCGGGGCGCGAGGCTTGAGGGGGGATGTCTTGTGAGGGGCAGACGGAGAGCTTCTCGGTAATCCGATGGGTTTGCTGAGGGTTTGCCATCGTCATGGCAGATGGACAGGTTTGCTTGAAGCTTAGGTAGTAGTCTCGTAAACAAGCTTGATTTCCCGAAAGCTGTTTACCTACCTACCTGACAAGAGCAGGGAAAGGGATTTTCTATCAGCTTGGCACTAGGGTCTTGAGAACGACTGGTTTGCACGCAGGTCTTCCTTCTAGGGTCTAGAGGAGATTGCTCGTGATCCAGAGCTTTTTGAATCCAGTGACAACTCCCTTTAATCAAGAATTCGCGCTGCTGGCGATAATGAAACAAGAGAGGAAGTGGGAAAACGACAGAAGAAAGGCCTCTGTAGTGCTTCAGGATTCTCCGAGTCACCATGGTACCTGCCAAGAACGTGCGGGTTTCTTCCATGTCACCTCGTTTCCCCGATTAGGTATTTCGCTGCAACTGGTGCAGTTGCCGGTTCCATTAACATGAACGTTATCCTTATCCCCGTTTTCTACTTTTGGAATGCTTCTGTTCAATATACGTTTCTTTGAATCGCAAGTTTACTTTCACTTTCACCCCGTTCTTGTCGTTCCCGTCTTTGAGTGATTGGCTTGCTTATTGTCAATATGTTATTTGTCTAGGACTGGTTCAATAAAGATCGCCCAGGCACCTTCGGTAACTAACGCCTTGTCGCCGGTCATCTTCTTTGTCGTGCGTATCGCTCTCTCTGCCACGCTCGCGTGTAAGGTGGCTGAAAGGCAAAAGGTCTCAAGACGGTGTCTTCCTATCGACGTGTCATTGACACGCAACATCATGTTGGTACATGCACTTTGAATCATTGCGTCTGTAGGGCTTGCTGGGCAAGCCATCGTGCATCATAGCAGAGGCCACTTATGCCTTCCTTTCCGCCTCGGCCGCGGCCCCGGGGGAGGTTCAGGGTTGTGGCTGTTATAAATATGTGAGTGTGTACTTATTCCATATATGTGTATGTAAATTCTTTACATGTGCGTGGATGTACTACATGTATATATATATATATATATATAGGTATGTATATATATATATATGTATATATACATAGATTACTAACTGGCTCCTCGACCCATTGGGTTACGTGTTTAATGATAAAATAACAGTTGAAATAGCACAAACGAACAATAAAAGCACTTATCGGCAGGATAAAATAACAGTTATCCCACCGATAGCAAACCAGTTATCGGGAGGATGAAATAGCGATTTCACGGCTGGGTAGATGACAATTATAGTTGTACGACCGAATAAAGGTTATCTTCGATCGTTATGTAATGTACTAGTATGGTCTACACCCTAAACCCAAAACCCTGTAACAGGCGGCTTCCCTGATTTCCCAAAGGTAGAGTATCTATATCAATATCTAACTAGCCTGACATCCTGTATCGTGCCCTCCGAAAGCCCCCCAAAGCCCCCCAAAGGTAGGAATAAAATGACAATTACGGGCCCCTAACTATAATTTTGTCCCGACGCCAAATAACTGTTAGTTTAGCCTCTCCCCAACCATTTGCTTGCGTCAAAAGACAATACCCATTCCTGCAAAGTAAACGAACAGTTGCGGGCCCTTGACTGTTATTTTATCCCCCTCCGAGGTGGACGACAGCTGCAGACACCTCGAGGAACGATTTGTCGCAGCTTGTCTTGTCAGTAGTGAACTTTGAATTTGAGGTTTCGACCTTCGGGATCCCATACAGCCAAAACGCGACGCTTTCAAGCCATAAGCCGCCATAAGCCTTACGGCCCAAGACCGTATGTCTAAGTGCCATGTTCCGAACCTTGAATGTGGTCGCAGCCCTGCAGTTACTGTTTCCAGGACGAGCCGAGCGATAAGGCCGTTGCGGCATTCCTACGGTAGAAAGATGCTCAACAATTCCCGTGTGCTTTTCTGCAGAGCTATTATCGTTGCGCAAGGCGATTCGGGTTTAAGACTCAGGGTCAAGCTCTGCCTGGCTCATTGCTTATACACTCTACTAAGCCTTGGGCTTCGATGCTAGTAAACCCCAGGGGTGTGGATGCAAAACAAGCGACTCCGGAAATCCAACCGCCCTAGATGGCCTATTCTCAGGCGATGATGGACCTAGCGCGGCGCGACAACAAGTACCTGTAAAGGCCAGGGCAGTGGATGCCAAGAAAGTCAAGAAAGGCTTTTGGGAGAGGCTGTTGGTGTGTGGCTGTCTGTGCTGGGCCCAAACTCCAATTTGGTCCTAGAGCCGGAAAACCTGAACCCTCAACTCCCCCCAAACATTTCCTAAACCTTATTCTGTACCTTAACTCTAATTCCCAAGCCCCAAACCGGAGGCCTAAACCGTAACAGTGGTACCTTTGACTGTTGGCCCGATTCCACACGGACTTTGCACCACGGCCTCAAATCTGTGAGGGGCTTGTAAGGATTTAGGTTATGGATGGACGTGGCTTTACGGTTTCTTATTTGAGGATACAGGGTTTTTGTTCTTGTTTTTGTTGTTGTGTCTTCCGGTTGTTTGAGGCCCAGCATGAACTCACTGCTGTGCTCCACATCCTGCGGGGTTGTGGGATTTAGGGTTTAGGGTTTTGAACCCGCAAGGGGCAGCCTTTATCATAGTTCGAGGGTCACTTAAGTTTATATGAACCCTGAACCCTAAACCCAAACCACTGGCTTGGGAAGACCCAAAACTCTGAACCCCAAACGACCAAACCCCGAACTCTACAGAAACCCTAGCCGGTAAACTAAACATCTTAGTGAACCCTGAACCCCGTAAAGGCCCTTCAAGTTCCATATCAAACATCCCAGGGGACCCTCTAGAAAATCCTGAAACAGGCCTGTCTAGACTCCTTGCAATATCGAGGACCTGAAACATCCTCGAACACTAAATCCCAATGCCGTTTTCGGGACTTTTGTAAAGAAATCATAATAAGGAACCCTAAAAAGGTGGGTTCAGGGTCCAGGTAACCCCTGGAATTGAATCCTGATAACGTAGGGACCTTAATTATTAAATAATTGGAATAGGGTTTGGGGCTCCTTTGTAGTATAAATATAGTACGGAACCTAAGGAAGAATATAGGCAATGATTTAGGCTTCAATACTGGAAGATCTGGGTGCTCTATGAATGTTTGCATGCTGAACCAAGCCTTAAACTAATTGTCGTGCAAAATCCTAAACTGCGGCAGGGCAGTGCCCTAAGCCCTAAACCCTATAAATCCATACATCTGTAAATATACGTCTTCGACTGGCCCTTACATCATCTGCATTCGCATCGGTTGAAAGAACCGGACTTCGAACCTTGGGCAGGACATGGCCAGTTCCTATCTACAACTCTGCACCCTGAGCCCCAAACTTGCCGGAACCCTGAAACCCAAACCCTAGACTTCTAAACCTTACCCCAAACCCATATGTCCCAAACCCTAGCCCCAATCCCACAGGCCCTAACATCCACAATCCTACAACCCATGCACCCATAATAAGCCTAAACCTTGCAAAAGCCAATAGCCACCTGCCCTCCGAGAGCCTTCTGATGCCCAACCGCCCCGAAGCCTTCCAGCCTAAAGCCTAAAGGGTTAAGTTTCCCGGGTATGGGTATAGGGTTTAAGTTTCAGGTGTAGGGGTGGGTGTAGGGTCTCGGGGCCTCATCCCTCGCAGAAGCACTCCTAGTTTTGAGACCCTTATCAAACCCCGTTCAAGAACCCTCGCCCATCCCCTTACCCCCGCCGCTCCTGAACAACAATGGGACTGTTGGGACGAAGCTGGGAGGCGAATTCGGCGGAGATGGTGCAAGATGCGAGTTTTCGGGGTTATGTAAGGTGCAGGTAGGATCCTCTAGCTTTTTTCCAAGGGTGATGGACCCTGGACAAACGTAGGTTTTCTGAGGCTCGGGTGGGGGGTACGTAGAAGACGGTTCCCAAAGCATGAAAGATGCCGGCCAGCGTGCAGGGTTTTCTGCAAGGTCTAGAGTTTGGTACTCAGGGTTTTGGGTATTGAGGGTGTAGGATATTAAGCTGTAGGATATTCGGGTTTCAACCCCCCAAAGCCCGAAAATCTCCAGCCGCCGCAGTCGCTCCACCCCACACTCCCGAAAGAAGCTTTGAGGACTTACCTGGACTCTAAGAAACCGGCCCCTCGATCAGAGTTCGTTGACGCCAGCATGATGCACATTTTGTGCGGAGGGTGAGTATGGGTTTGGGTTTTGGCTGTGCCAGGTCGTGCCATCTCCTGCACTTTGGCTCGGTGCACGCGGTCGTGGGCTTGTTGGGAAAAGTGGGCGTTGGTTCGGTGCCTTCGCAACTACAGGTTTGTTTTGTGTGAAGGATTGAGTGGCTTCTGGCCTACAATCGGATATCGGGTGAGATGCGTCACTTTTTGGTGATGTTTGCAAATACTTTTCCAAATGAAGCTGAAGCAAGATACGAAGCCGGAATATTTTTACGGAAATTCAGAGCACAATTTTTGGGAATGGACTGATATATCGATTCTGTTCTGTTTCGCTAGACGTGTAGTTATATACTCGACGAGAATATATTTGGAATTAAAGGACTATTAGATTGTTTTTCGTATAGCCGTGCTTTGGCGCGGTTCTCTCTAGGGTGGGGCGATTTGGTCTAGAGTTAAATGCACTTTCTAGATTAGTCGATATGGTCTATATCTTCTAGAGTAGCTGTGCCTTGGTACCGGGTTATAGTGTAGAGAAGTGTAATGGAAGCTCAAATGGTAGTGGGTTATATGATTTCATCGGGTAAAGCAATTACTTCGGGAGTTGACGATAATGTTCTCGTATTTAAAGATTCGTAAAATAATCTTTTTGGCTTTATATTATCTAAAAGTGTGGTATAACGATATTAGTAGGGCTTAAAAATTCTACTTGTTATTTTGACGATCTCGCGCCGGAGGTATGTCGTTTTCTTTTTTCTAGGTTTTCGGAGGTAGGTCTTTATTCTACTATATTCTAGAGGTCATTAAATTAGGATAAAAGTTATTCTAAAAGAAAATTTGAGAGAAAAAATTAGAATGCTAAATCCTAAATTTTAAATCTTAAATATTCTTAAATTCTAAATATTCGAATAATATTTTCCCTAAAAAAATATTTCTAGAATAATTTTTCCTTATTTTATATAATTATATCTCGGGAAGAAAATTATCGCAATATTTCATATAAGACAATAATCGAAATATTTCAAAAAAATGTTTTATTTCTTGCAAAAATGGCAGTATTCGAAATAATTCATGTCCTTGGTTAGATGGAACAATATGAAATATTTGGAATGTTAAGGTTTGGGGTCTGACGTGATCGGGTTTAGGATAGAGATGAGGTTTAGGGTTAATTTAAAATCGTAAAACCTTAAAGTCTAAACCCTAAACCCGATTACACCGGACCCCAAACCCGAATATTTTTTGATTAGACCAATTCATATGAAATATCTCCAATATTTATATTTTAATTAAATATATTATCGGGTCTTGTTACGATTTCTGCTCCGCTTGGTCTTGAAAATTCTTTCTTGTATATTTTTGATCGAAAAAATGATATTGTCGATTTATAATGTAGTATTCTATCCTAAATTTGGTCATTTTTAAGAATTTTTTATGTTTATGATTCTAAGCAATAAATCTTATTTCTAGGATTTATCGGAATTTTCGGGTCCATTCTTGATTATTTCATATAGTATTGCAATGTCCAGCTGGCGCCGCTTTATGGCTTGTTCTTGGCCGCAATAAGTCTTACTATCGTGGGAATTTTTTCTATCTGAAGAATAATATGATGCTGGGTCTTGAAGAATCTTGCTAACCTATTCTTAGGGTGACAAATCGTATACTCGGGCCTTGGTATTCCCGGGTCTTGATAGCTCTTTCGGACCTGTAATAATTGATATTCCCGTTGGTTGTTCCTTCTGACCTAGTCTTAATTTTTGCCTCTTTTTTAATAATATATAATTCGTGCGGAGAAATAATATTCAAAACCTTTTATTTGATTTTATTTGCTCTGGACTATAATTAAGAAAATCTTGCAGAGCTGCAAAGATCGGATCGGCGTGACTTGTGTTATCTGTCAGGGCCGCGGGCCCTGCTCTTGAAGAAGGCACGGGCTGTAGCGCGCAGAGCCGCGTGGCCAGTGTCAAAGCTTGGCCACTGGATTCCCAGTCGCTGCTACAAAAGCCCGAGGCGAGGCTACTTGCTCTGCTCTCGCCGCAACGACGTAAGCACAAAATATATGGGGAAAAAATAGATGAGACAAAATTCTATCTATCTGAGAAAATTATTCTTCTCCTAATCCCAGCAATCTTCCAGGAGAGTACAACACGATATTACTTAGACGAAACGTGCGAACCTCAGTCGAAATAAATTTAGATTCGAAAAGAAATATATGACAAGCTTAATCTGTACACTGTCACTCCCCAGAAATGCTGTGTGCCAGGCGATTCAAGATCTTTGTGATTCTGATATGCGCTAGACTGAATTTCAACTTGAATGGAACTACACAGGCAGAAGATCTGTCACCACGCCCACGCGATGTAGTAGTCGAGTGTTTACGACGCCACTTAATAATATGAAAACAATGTGTTTTCTGCTTGAGGCCTTTTCGCGGTGGGATTCTGTGCGCAGCCGCGCGTCTTTTCGAGCCGAGCGGCTCGCGCCGACTAGCGCGAGCCCATCCGGTTTCACTTCGCAGCCAAACTTACAAGCTTCGTTCTTCCACCCCCAAGCCCTATCGCCACGGCCCTCACATAAGCTCCAGACCCGCATCCACGAGGCGTTTGCAAGACACAAACCCTGAGCTTAGGAAATCCTGAGCGGTGAGCAGGTAGGTACAAAGTGTCTGTGTGGAATTACCGATCTCACACTTTTTGGAGCGGAGATAGGAGGTACAGAGATCGCAGTCCGTCTGCCCCTTAAAGTGGCCTTCGAATAGGAAACGCGGTTGCCTCAGGCCCAATCGCACTCTCGCAGCATGCACTGGCAGTCCTCTGACCGGTTCCCGTCCGAAGTCAGATTCTAGATCTCATCCTGAAAGAAGTTCTAAGGATTACCGGCTGGGTCACGGCACGATCCGTGAGCCGTTTGTAAAAGGAACCTTTTGAATGCAAGTTGAGGGGATTTATCCGATGTTTCGGCTTCCCGGGTCCCGGGCCCATCTGGCAATTGGCCGTCAGGTTTGAGGTTTCCGATGTCAAGAGTCCAGTTCAGTTTGGTTCCCGATTTTTTAGGCATGCCTAAAAAATCGAATCAGGTACTGTGGCGA